TAGCAGGTACACACGGTTGATCAGACCGTGCATCACCAGGGTATCCAGAGTGTCTTCGTTGATGGCAGACTCTGGACCCTGCTGCCATCCCCTGCTATAATTGTCAACTTCGCACAGTGAATCATACCATCCAGTATCAGAAACTTCGCTCATTGTGACTAAATATCCTTAGAAACAGGATTTCCACACACACGCACACACACACACACACACGCACACACACACACACACACACATACAAAACACAAATCGCCCACGAACAGACTCACAACAGAGCACACACCGACACAGAAGTTACGGGATCGAGTAGATACTTCAGCAGGATGAAGCATCCACGAGCATCACTGCTTCCAATCTCAGCCTTACAACCAATGACTGACTTGTCTACGATGCAGAATGAACGCTGAAAAACATCCAAGATGACCCGAACAATCAGTTGGAACTAAACAGAAAGAACTTAGAGCTGACCCAACGTTCCAATCCATCGGCAGGTGCAATGTCTGGTGCAGGTGTGAAAGCCTTTCTTTCAAGTGAATTGCGAAGCTATAGCTGCTTGACTAGTCACGGACTAGTCATAGTCATGAGCATCATCATCATCATCACCATGACGAATACCGTGGTTGTGCAAGGTCGGCTGACAATACCAGTCTCATATCTCATGACGACTAGTACAGTACTGTATGTCATTGTTCAAGCTAGCATCTTGTTGGGGTAAGATGCCGTTGACAACAGGGATTCCACTTGTGGCTTCTGAAGTCAGAATCTCCGCGCCCAAACGAGGCACCCGAGTTGGCATTTCGACAGCTGCTGGCACACAGGACCCTCCTGCCAGGGGATACCGTCCCGGATGCGTGGAGCGTGCACACTTTGGACCTGTACCACTTCAGTATGGCGGTGTAGTCTCAGGGTTGCTCGTGACTTCAGTTCATAGGCTGCCTGGGCGGATGTAGGAAAATCCGCAAGCTGTCCCAGCGCAGAATGTTTCTTCCAGGAAAGAGTTGTCCGAAGAAGAATGGCTGCCCGGAGCTTGGATAAGCCTTGTCCAGCATCACTTTGTTGCACCATCAGCCAGACCATATAAGGCTTAAACCCCATGATGGTCACTGCAAATGAATGCTTCAGATCCCGGGAGATCAAAAGGAGGTTTAAGATGCCTGAGGACGAGATGATGTCGTTCATTGGATTTGTGCTATAAGGCGCCTGTGGACGAACGTCAGCGCTGACATTGCCAGCAAGATCTGGCCGAATGCCTCTGCAAACGTCTCGCTGGGCAACTGGACCTGGTTTGCCCAGAATGCTGTTGCCTGAGTTTCTTGTTCCCGTCTTGAAGCTGCTTCTGCCTCGCATAGAGCGCCGATGAAGCTGCAAGCTAGGCCGTTTCATCCCCTTTTCGAAAGCCCAGCAAGGCTTCGGGAGAAAACATCACGCGAAGGCTTCAGGAGGACTGCAAGAGCATAAGAGCATGAACTTGAGTACACAAACTCCCTTGCAAACATGTTTCAGCCTGCAGTTTGATGAGGAGACGTTCCTGGCCACCACAGAGGCCATGATCGAATTCCTGCAGTGTCCTGCGATCATATCTTGTGTGTCAATGTCGCTGCCACCCAGAGCAAAGATTGCCTTGCTCAGTACCCGCTGGAAGCTATCAACCCGCTTTCGATGCGCGCTCCACAGCTGCGACCTTGGCCACAGCGCGATGCAATGCAACACGATACATGTGGTCGGACTCGTGTAGGCAGGAGTCTAGACCATTGGGACTTACGTATTTTCCTGCCATGGCTGAACTGCAGAATAGCCAGTCATGTCGATATAGATGTCAGGACTGGAACTAAGTTGTTTCTTCCAGCTCAGTGTTTCGACAAGAGAAATCTGCAAACACTTGAGGCAGTGCAAAGCCGGCACTTTCTGCCCGAATCTCAGCTGGCTACCACTGGGATGCCGCGTGAATGGCTAGCTAGCAGAGGTGTGCAAAAATCGCATCGAACCTCACGCAAGTAGCACACCCACTCTGCACCCTGAACCCGGAACTTTTCCCCGAAAATCCTCGCGTTCCCAGGCGACGCGCGGGCAGGTTCGTCTGCTGGAACCGGTCTCTGTCCTCCGGGGCCCCCCTGGCCTTGCTTCCAAAGGGAATTCGGGGGATTAATATAGGGGCCTTAAGAATTACCTATATTGTTTTGGGGGTTCCTTATCATAAGTATAGAATATGGGCCCCCAGAACCTTATTCTAAAATTATTAAGGCCCCTATATTATGGGCTTGTGCTACTTGCTGGAGACAATGCAACATGATGTAGGAACCTGAATAGGAAACCCTGGCCCTATGACCCCGATATCTTCGGATTCATATAACGAACCCAAATACAGACCCAAGATTTCTCGATCAGGTTCCAATATTATCATGTTTCAACAGATTGCATTCAAATGTACTACAGGGGATTACTCATCCTGGTGTATTTGCAAATGTTGTTGTTGGTACCAGGCAACCCCCCCCCCCCCCCCCCCCGAAGCTCTAAACCCCTGCAGCCCCAAATGCTGCATCAAACCCTCAAGCCTTGGACTTTAAAGCCCTTAAACCCTCAACCATAAACACCAAAACCAAAACTCATCCCTAACCCCTAAACCCTGAGCCAGGCAGCCCTCAAAGCCCTTAAAACACTAAACCCTTACAGCCCTAGAGCCCGAAGCTCCCTATATACCCTATGACACACTTAGAGTCCTTAGATGCACAACAACGGGATCCCAGAAGCTCCGAAGCCCTTAGAGGTATTGGGGTTTACGGTTTTCGGATTTTTGGGTTTAGGGTTCAGGGTTAAGGGTTTAATTAGGGTCAAGGGCTTTGGGTTTCGGGGTAAGGGCCTCAAAGCCCCCGCAAGCAACTCCAGGCTTCGGGTTTAGGCTTTGGAGCTTTGGGTTTTAAGCTCCTGAGCATAAGCCTAAACCTCTTGAGCCGATCATATTCAGAAGAGGCCCTCAATGACTCCAGCCAAGAAGAAAGTCAAAATATTCGTAGCCTTCGAAAGACCCCTAAACCCTACCAAACCCTGACCCTGTAAAGTCTCAACCCCTTGGCAGGAAGTATTGTCCACCAGGTGCTGGAGATCCCGCAGAGGAATGGAGGGTTCCACAGGTTTCCTAGGTTTGCCCTGCTGTTTTTGGGGTTTTAGGTTTGGTAGGAAGTCTTCTGCTAGGGTTTCTGGGGCATAAAGTTTTCGGTTGGGATGAGAAAACTAGCACATTTCAATGAGAAGCCCTTTCTCGAACTTCAGCTCGGCAGTGGTTTTTTGCTGGGGGAGAGGGGGGAAGCTTTTATGTTGCTGACATAGCAAGCCCTAAACCCTAAACAATTGTAAAGGCGTACAGCTTTTGTAAAGGCTTCCCAGGTCCTGAGCCAAGAATCCAACCAGTCTGCGCGGTGCCAGCAGTGATGAAGCTTCTAGAAGTTGCTTATCCAAGACCCCGGAGCCCACGACACCTTACAGCAAACAGGGGCAACTGGACTTCTGGGCTTTTTCCGTGGCTCCAGGCCCCAGAAGGAGTGTTTGTGGATGGCTCGGGCAGCGTCCGCGGCGTGGAGTGTGGGGCTAAAGCCTCTCCTCTGTTTCAATTCGGTATTCGGGGGCTTGGCTTTAGAGTTCAGGTGTTTGAGGGTTCGGAACAAGACGAGGCCATGACCGCTCACTCTGTGTTTCGCTGAGCGACAAACTTTGTAGGGCTGCTGCCGCCGCCCTGCGATTATGTCTTGCTCCGGCGTCGAGCCGTTTTCTGCAGCAAAATCCGAGCGACACAAGCACAACCCAACCAAGCCAGTGCCCACAGTAGGCTCTTAAGCTCAGCTTCTCAAAAGGCTGGCACTCCCTGTGAGCCGCTGAATCGAGAGCCATGGCGGGTATCAATTGGCCTGGACTCCTCGCTTGGAGCCATTGCCTCGGAAAGTGGGTTTGTAGGATCAGGGTTCTGGGGTACATTGTAAGTACCTAGAGTGACTAAACCGATACGCACGATGAAGGGATATTCGGATTTTCTACATATTACCACTGTTGCCTTGCCACTGTTGCCTTGCCGTTGTTGCTCGAGTTGTGCTTGAAAGTGTGCCAGCAAACAAGAGGCTGCAACGGTAGAACATGGGCAGAAGCAAGTTTCAATCAGCCCAATCTATGTAGATCTTCTGTCTGACTCACTTACTCACTCACCGACAGACCGACCGACCTGCCCAACTGCTTGCCTAGCTAGCTGACTGTTACTGTAACTAAGTGTAACCAACTAAGTACCCTACTAACTGGCTAAAAACTAACTAAGTAGCCAACCAACCACCTAACCACCTGACTAGCTGAGTAACTAAATAACTAACTCTAACTAACTAACTGACTGACTGGCTGGCTGGCTGACTGACTGACTGACTAGCTAACTAACTTAGTAATTTAGTAAGTAACTAACTAGCTAACTAACTACTTACCTAGCTAACTAACTAACCAACCAACCAGCCAACCAGTTAACCAACCCACCAACCTACCATCCGACCAGCTAGCTAATCCATTGACTAATACCTACCTACCTGCCTGCCTGCCTACCTATCTACCTATCTACCTACATCCATACCCACATACATACGTACATGCTTGTACACGCATACACACACATACATGCATGAGTTCATACATAAGGACATACGTATGTACATGCACGCACAATTACTTATTACATACATACAGACAAACATACAGACAAACATACAGACACACAGACATGCAGACGCACAGGCAGACAGCCAGACAGACAGACAGACATACAGAAATGCATGCATACATACATATATGCCTATATATATATATATATATGTATGCATGTGTATACGCATACACATACATACGTGGTATAGATTGAAGCACGTACTTCATGCCCACGAGCAGCCGAACCCAGGCACCAAGTACCACGATGGCACAGCGCCCTCGGAGTTCAAGCAACTCAGCGAGGAGGATCGGAGGCTCGAAGGGTGCATAAGCAACGTCGCCTGAGAGGACCATATCGTTCCAAAAGTAGGGCTATATAGGCAAGATTGCTATTGGCGTATGTACAAATCGATATGTAGCCATGAGGCCTTCACGTCCCTAAGTTCCTACAAGTGGCTCATTCCAAGCCTTGAGAACCCCCCTAAACCCTAAACCGTGAACCCTAAACCCTAAACCTTGAACCCTAAACCCCAAACCCTAAACCTTTTGAGAGCCTCCGATTGGGAGGTTCCTGGAGAGGGCCATGGAGGAAGCCTTTGGTCATGTCGAGGCCCCTGGGTTTTGGGTTTTGGGGTTCAGAAGCTCCGGACCAAGCAATATCCAGTCGAGCGAGTTCCCTTTTTTGAGCCGCGAAAAAACCCACTCACTCAGATAATCCCAAAACATGAAGAGTCATTAAGAAATACAAAGTTTTACTATCATCTACATAAAGTATTCGGCTTGTTCTTGGTCCGCAGGCCAGCCGAAGGCATGAAATCCTAAACCCTACAGGCCAGCCCACAGGCCAGCCCTAAATCCTAACTACAGACCAACCCAGAGCGCTAAAGCATAAACCCTGAAGGCCAGCCCAGAGCCCACATCCCTAAATCTTAAACCCTAAAGGCCAGTCCAGAGCCTTACAGCCTAATTTCTCAGCGCAAGGCATTCAATCCTGAACCTTCATGGCCAGCCCACAGTCTTGAATCCGAATCCCTAGAGGCCAGCCCAGAGCCTTCAATCCGAAACCCTGAAGGCCAACTCAGGACCTCAAGGAAAAAAGGCACCGGTCCCGACAGATCGCAATTGCAAAAACACCGGTCCCAGATTGACCGCAATTGCAAAAACACCGGTCCGCAAGCAGACCGAAATCGCAATAACATTCAATAATACACAAAAAAAGAGGGTTTAGGGGCTTAGGGTTTTCTTTTCAGGATTTTTTTTCCGAGTTACCCTTCATATAGTCGCTTCAGACTATAGTAGAACATATCCCCGACGACCTTATTCTAGTGGTGAAGGCCCCCGGTATATTCAGGAAGGTTCATACAAGTGGGGTTGAGATGGATGTTTTTGTCCCAGGATTTCTGGGCAGGTAGAGCTTAGGTTTTACAGGGTAGTTGGTTCCGAACCTCAGGCGCTCGTTTGGAAGGTTTGCGGCAGTTGGACAATTCGGCTTTTCACTAAGATGGTTGTGAATATGACTCACCGTGTGCCTCAGATAAGGTACCCATAACCCGACGTTAGGGCTTTTGGGTTTTACGGTTTGGGCTCTTGGAGAACGCGCTGAGTTGCAAGCGACTTTCCCCCACGCTGTTTAGGGCGCAGGGTCTTCAAACTATTGTCTTAATCAGGGAACTAAATATTGCTACCCGAAACTTCAGGTATAGACGAGCGTAGATACATGAATGTACTGATATAGGTCTCCAGTATCGATGGCGGCATGTGGTGTCCACAGTGTGGTTTACTAGCATCTTTGTGTAAGAATAGTCCCTTCAGTTGTGCAACTTCTTGAAACTCCTTGATATGGTGGCATCCGCGCTGGGGTGCTTCGTATTTCCGCGGCCGATGCGTCCTAAACCCGTTGAGGTGTGCATGGCTCCGGGCCGGCATGCGAGGTCCCAAACCATCAACCCTATCCCAATAACCCGATGAACCCCGGCGTAGATGAAAGTTCTTGTGATTCTAGTAAATCGTCGGGGCTGAATCTTGCGTAGTGAGAGGTCCACGCAGGTTTTGCCACATGAGCTGTTCTTTTCTTGTCAGTGAAGAATGTCATGTCGCACTGGAAAGAGCTTCGATCAACGCCCAAAAGGAGCTGCGGGAGCCCGGATACTGTTTAGTTTCGTGTGTAGTGGTGGAAGAGCGATTGCTTCGTGGGCAGTGCCTGGGGCTTGGGTGAAACGCCCTTCTGCCTTGGCAGGGAGCCCCGGAAGCTCATAGCCCTAAACCCTGCAAACTTCAAAGCTTGTAAACCCTCATCCTAAACACTAAAAAGCCTTGTAGGCCTATGTACATCCTGAACCCTACAAGCCCGAAGCCCCCAACCGCTCCAAGACGCCCACAGGATCCCAATAAAGTCATGGTCGAGGCCCGCGCACTGGCGGGGGCTGGGGGGGAGGGAGGTGCGAGTAGCAACATGAAGAATAAATAAGACGGCATGTAGCATCCTTGGTGTACAGCTTGGGCTGCAGGATTTTGGAACTTACGGCAATCGTGGTCATGGTTGAATAGGGTTCGGGACTGAGAAGCATCCCTTGTCTGGACTTTATCTGCATAGGAGAAGCTGCAGAAATACTAGGTTACTAGGATGAGTAGAAGAGCAAGCAGGTAGTCGTTCAGGTACGGCCGTAATTCGGTCATCTAGACGTTTGGACCTGGCAGCGGTGGCAAAGGATTACTGTATTTCTATTTAAATACTAGCAACCACGGGAAGTCAACCAATATCCTGGCAAGGTTCTAAGAATGCAGAGTAAGAGTCAACGCCATCACGCATGTCAACCTCATCGTGTTCTTTTGCAAGTCGCCATGCAGTGAGAATGTCAGGAACAGAAGCAACAAACAATACCGATGCTAACTGTAGCAACAAACGGGACATCTACTCGGAAGAGTCGCTGAGAAGGCCGAAGTCATAGATTTGGCAGTTCGGTATGAGGCCCCTAAGCCCTAAACCCTAAACCCTAAGCCCTAAGCCCTAAACCCTAAACCCTAAACCCTAAACCCATCCTCCGACATCTGAGAAGCTCGGAGTTTGCAAAAAGGCTCGCGACCAGATCCTTTCGCCGGAGCGCACCGACGAGAGCATATCCACGGCCTTGGAGGTACCAGGGACTTTGAGGGCAGAGGGCCGCCCTGTCCCATTTGAAGGTAGCTTAAGTATGTTGCTGGGATCCCCCGCTCAATGGGACCGAGTTCCATCAATGTGAGAAAGCATTATAATCATGTTTGGCTTGTGGATGCAGCTTGGGTGAGAGGTCATTGACCGCTGCTGTGACGACCCAGACTGCGCACGCAATGCCGAGAAGCGCCTTGGCTCTCAACATTTGCATCCGCTGACCCACCGGCGCTCATTGCTGTCGCTGAAGGCTGGACGTCTTGCAGCCTTTGCTGGACTTGGCCTCGTCGCATGAGCTCGACGCCCGGGGAAGCTGTGTGAAACGGTTCGATGGTGGTGCATTGTCAGAGGAACCACGTGGTAGCCACAGAGGCCGAATGCCATCTCCCCCACTCCTCTTAACTTGTCTACGATACGCATCACAAAGTGATCTGACTTGCGAAATCGGATTCTGAAATCGACTGTCCAGGGGCTCCGTCCGCACCAGGACTCGGAAGTGTTTCCTTGCGCGTTTGCCCCTGAAGCGCCGCATTGGAAATCCACATGGCTTGGAGCAGACTCTGCATCGGAACATCTCAGAATGTGAGTTCCCTGCTCCGCGCCAACTTGTAGAATGTCGAATCCGAAAACCCCCGAACTCTCAAGCCCCTTGTTTACGGTTGTTGTTGAGTTTCCAAAGATGCAGGGCTCCAGCATGCACAAGCGTTTTTAGGACCTTGCAGCCCCCAGCCCTCGAACCTAGACATAGTCCTAGAGCTTGCAGGCTAAAACCCAACTATAGACTCTGGGTAGTACCTAAACTCATGTCTGAAGCTTTCGAGTTTTTCAATACGACCCCGAAAGCTCTGAATCCTGACGAACTAAATCACTGAGTAGCACCTACTGTAGGGGCCTTAATCATTACCTAAACTATTTTGGGGGTTCCTTATTACAAGTAAAGTATTCTGGGCCTCAAAACCCTGGTCTAATTGTTAGGGCCTCTACATTACATCCCCCAAAATCCTAAGCCCAGAACCCTAAGCTCCAAAGTCCAGTCATTCGCGTCAGGACATTCGAGATCCTCGCGCTGTTGTTCTCCAACAACCCAAACATCCAGGCTCCTTGTTAGAGCTGTTGGGGTGAGAGGGTTTAGATTTAAGAGTCCAGGGTTTCAGGGCTTGGATTTGGGATCTGAGTTTGGGTCTTGAAGTTCAGGGATCGCATCGAGGTCCAGGATGTTGACATAAGCAGCCTTCAAGTCGAACGATTCTTGCTTGTTGAACTGTCATCGGTGAGATCACTCCTCCACGAACTGTTTTGGCCTGCTTCGTATCCAAAGCACGATGTGACCCAACATCCGTCACGAATTATGAGGGCCCCTGAGGGCCCCTCTGACACATCCCCATCCTCTTACCATCCTACACCCCGGACCTTGAGAACACACTTGGTGCCGTCCCGAAGGAAGCCGGGGTAAAGCGAAATGCCCTTGCGCTGTGCATGAAAATTGCGCAGGAGCGGACGTTTTGCTTTGGGCCCAGGGTTAAGGAGAAAGCTCAACGGCAGTCAAGCACAGAAAACAAGTGACCATATATCTCTCAGCGTCCATACGTTGCTGCCTAGTGTGCCTACATGTCGACGATTCAGGCAGCAATCACACTGGGTGCTACATCTTCTGCATCAAGTAACTTATCTCTGTTGTCGAGCAACTGACATGGTGCACGGATGCACCTACACTCAGTCCTACTATGATCCTTAACTATCATTACCTAAACCAAGACGTTTCTTCTTCCGACTCATCAAGTGGTGCGGGACTGGGAAACTTCGCACAACTCCATCGAAGCATAGCTGCCACATGTTGCCTGATTTCGGGCTCTGGTGTTTCAGACTTTTTGTTCGGTTGGGGGTCTTTCTGGGGAGATACGTAGGGTTTAGTGGCAGTTCAGTGGTTCATGGATGCTCGAAGTAGGTGATTATGAGAACGGTAGCCCTGACACCTACTCTACAGCCATTACTGCGTGATGGATATGTAACCCTCTAGCTGCTACTGGAACTTTCAGACGGTCTAAGAGCATCCCTTTTTCAGAAAAGCCATCGGAGCAAGTCAATCCGTATGGCCCCGAACAAACGATCAGGTAGGATTCAAGCTAGCTTAGGGTGTGATTAAGATCAGGTGTATACGGTTAGGAGCTACAGCGGTGTCGGCTCCAAGACGGCCCCTCCTTTCAAGCAACCGAAGGCCCCGGAAGCTGTCAAAGATTATCTGTTAAAGGAAACTACAGGTGGGGAGTTTAGGGTACATAGGGCTTCTATAAGGCTTCTATAAGGTATATAGACCTCCTATATGGCTCCTATAACGGTAACTACCCACCTGCAAATGTCCTAGAATCTGCAGGAGAGTCCTGCGGGCTCCGATGAGAGATCCAAGGCCTTCCGAGCTCTCGTGGCCCTGGTCCGAAATGTGAAGGAGAGTTTTGGGTTTAGGGTTTAGGGTTTAGGGGTTAAGGTTTAGGGTTCAGGGCTTTGGGGCTTTTGGCTTCAGGATTTCAGGTTCGTGCTGGAGCGTCTCATGGTGAAGAGAGCAGTTCGAAGAGTCCGAGGCCTTAGCGGAACCACAGAACTGTCTTCGAATCCTGGAGACCCTCGTAGTCTCGGATTCAGGGATCTAGGGTTTAGAGTTTAGGGTTTAGGGTTTAGGGTTTAGGGTTTAGGGTTTAGGGCAAATGAAGGCTTCTCGGTTCACGGTCTTTGCATACTCGGAAGACTCTGCGTGGCGTTTTCCGCTGCAGGCTTTTTTCAAGCAGCATAACTTCAAAGCGTACCGCTGCCTGCAAGGGCAGGCCACAAGCTTAAGAACCCCCCAAAAAAACTGGAACCCATGAGCCCGAAACCCCAAAACCCTCAGACCTCACAAAGCAGCAAACCTCTCCCCGGAAGCCTCACACGGGGGAAGTTCCACCCTGAAGCTGGACCCTAAACCCTAAACCCTAAAACCCTAAACCCTAAACCCTAAACCCCGAAGCTGGAGGAGTTCGAGAAGCTCCTTCTGGACCAGCCCGGTGGTGTGGCATTGTTGACCCTGTGCCTGGACCTCCAGGACTATCTGACTATCTCAGGATGTAAGGTTTAGGGCGGTTTAGGGCTGAGGGTATTGGGTGTATGATTTAGGGTCTAGGGATCAAAGATTATGGTTTGGGGTTCAGGGTTTGGGGCTTCGGTTGAGGGGACCTCTGCAATTTGACACTGCGAGGTCAGGAACCTAGGTCGTTTTGTGGGTTTGCAAGCGGGAGGATGGATGCTGCTTTTCCAAATTTAGGATCTTAGCTTGGCATGACATTGGAGAAGGCGCTGAAGCAACCTAGCCACATAGTTCTCTCCTCACAGCAGACGCGTACTTCAAGGAGCTAAGTGAGAAGTAGCTGCTATAACGGCGACTGTCCTATGACATGCAGCAGCTGGCAAGAAGGAGCTCCTTGGCACTCGCGAGAAGGTGTGGGGCCCCGGACGGGACACGCACAGTTGCTTTTCATGACATCTGCGATGGATTGCACTCATGTCGTGCCCCTAAACTCAATGAATAACACCCGTAAGCTGTGCACGCTGCAGTCCTGGAGGCAGCTTCTTTCGTTCGATCCCTCGTGGAGAACGAGAGCATGGCTGCTGAGGAGCCCGGGCACGGTGATGGATGTTACATGATCCAAGCACAACGGTCGAGCACTTATAAGACTATACTCCTGCAGTCTGCTGCGGCGATACAGCTTGTAGGATTGGGTTTTCTTCCGAACAAACGAGCCGGCAACCTAACAGCCTCGCCAGCACGCGGCCCCACTGGCGACTGCCCTGGCCAAGCTCTTCTCCAACCTGGAGGACTGGGCCCTGGGTTTTGAAGCATGGCAGTCGACTGTTCGAGTTCGATGGGCGTCGGAACCGGTACAGCAAGTCGTGCGTCGAGCAAACTACCAGCATCGCAGTCTCTAGCCCTAGGATCTCCATCCCTGCTGCGGCTTGAGTTTATTGCAGGCATTGATAGCGACGACAGCATCTTGCGATGTAGAAAGGAATTTAAAGAAGGAACAAAGCAGCGAGGACAGGATCATTGCTCATATAGATATCACGGCCGATGCTACAGTGAGACTGCAAACCTTGTCGTCATTTTCGCCGTCCTCAGAGTAGGAGGAATTTGGGGAAGAGCAGGAATAAGTAGTCGGAATGGTGTTGTAGTTCTCATCGTCATACTGTAGCTGTACTAGCAGCAGCCGTTCTGGCCGTCGTAACTTCTTGGCGGTAGCCGAAGCAGTCACAGCAGGATCGTAGTCGTAGTCCTAGCAGTAGCAGGAGCAATAATAACAATAATGGTAGTGGTAGTGGTAGTAGTAGTAGTAGTAGTAGTAGTAGTAGTAGTGGTAGTGGTAGTGCAATCGTCATCACTGTTGCCACCAATACTGTAGTCACCGCAGTCCATGCCAGAAGCAATGAAAGCTAGCGACACCGCCGTCGTAGGAATGGTAGCCGCAGCTAACGAGCTAACCAAACGTTGTCAGGATGCCGGGATCCAGTACAAGGAGCGGGAATGTCGAAGGCGTGTGCAGTCATGCGCACGGGGCTGGACCGTGAGTGTTGAGAGTCGCATTCCGTCACATTGCCCACAGGATGCCTATCCTAAGCCCGGAGCAGAGACAAACTCCTAACCCGACCATGATGCAGAGCAGAAGCTTTCAACGCCTCGAGCAATTGAGTCTTTTAGGAGCTCCTGCTTGCGAGTCCTTTTGTTATATGAAAGTTTCCGAAAATCGGTGGTACCTTATTTTGGGGGTCCTTATAATAAGCATCCTACTATTTGGGGTGCTATATTAGGGTCCCCTATTGTCGGAAACCCCCATATGTTACAGGGTATGTTGCACGGTTCTAGTGCAAGAGGCCCAAAGCCTAAACCTGCAAGCAATCAAATTCTTGCCATTCGCCCATGTCGAGAAGCCTCGCACTTTTCTGAAAATATAGTGGTCGGAATAAGTACCTTTCGGGTTCCTGAATATGAGCATACTGCTTCTAACTTGTTTTTGGCCACAAAATTCTGCTCTAGCTACTCTAGTTGTTAATGCAGGGGTCTGAAAAAATGAGAATAGGGTTTTGGGGCCCATTATACTATAATTAGAATATGGAACCCCCGAAATAACATAGGTAATTATTAAGGCCCCGATATTACTTAAGACCCGATGTCGCAGGAGACCTTGGCTTCGTGCGCTCTTCAGCTCGGAAGCGGCTTCAAGGCCTGAGAGAGAGTTGGCTCTGAGACGACCATGACGGGGTCTATGGGCCCCTAACGTAGGGGCTTAAGCAATTACCTATATATATATATAT